TGCTTATTTGAAAAATCTGTAGTAAATTGCTTTGCTAATCAAAGCAAATCGAGACATGGATTTACATAGTAAGTAAGGATTATGCAAAGCAGCTTCCTAAAACCTTCATTCACATGACTCAAAAAAACACAGAATCTGAGCAGGGTGATTAGCACAGTGCTGGATTAGTGCTGCTCCCTTTTCTGCACTAGTATTTCAAGGGTTTCTGTGACTGACTCAGCTAGATTCCAGTTTGAACTCTTCATGGCTTAATCCTGTATCACCTGACTTCAACAGGAATGAAGACCTGAGTCACTGACCCACTATTTCACAACCACACGCTAAATCCACCACCCAACACTCTTAAAAACACAACAAAACATGCTTAAAAGAAGTCATTTTAAATAATCAGTTGCATGTAAGACCTTTATTATCATACAGAACCCAGAGCTCTACTGCCATTTGCAGTGACAAAGCTAAACAAACATATATGGGCATAAAGTCAGAAACCAAGAAAAGCTATTAGTCCCCGAGTGAGGCTCACAGTCTTATCAATGAAAGCCCTCTTGTGTGACAGTGCACGGTTGGCACCGCTGCCATTCCAATTAAATTACAGTCACAAAAATGAAATACTTGCAATTGTGCCAGCAGAAGTTTAAATACGTTGGGGAGAAAAAAGCGCTTAAATATTTCCAGGAGAAACAAAGCACAAATCCCTTTTTGTTACTGCTACCCATGACAATTCCAACGCGACGCTGACAAACCCCAGTGATCAGATCGCTGCTCACTGAGCAAACAACGTTCTGACATTCACACAGGATTTGTGCACGTTAGCAAGTAGCACAAGGCATGCACACCATATGCCCCTCAGAAGTCTTCCCTACACATGAGCTCAAGTCTTGCTCTGAAGACTGAGTGCTCATTAGCAGCCAGAGAGCTCCCAGTGCCAGAGAGCACTTGCTCCTGGACTGCATCTTTTAGTTTACTTTCATCCAAAAAGAGTGTGGTATGCACACCCTGAGACACAGCACTGCAAACCAAAGCGCAGCACGCGAGAACAGCCAGAAGCCTTTCCCTGACCCAAACTAAAACACCAACACAGAACACCACACGTTCTAACTCAGACTCGCGATAACAGACCACCTACGGTTGTTCTTCTTACCTCATAGTTTCTGGCATTAGTGTTAGCTGCCTTCTCCAGCTCAATGCGAGCTCGTTTGTGGCTAAGCTCCATCTGCATCTTCTCCCGTTCCACCTGCAGGAGCTGCGATTTGGAATGGATCTGCCCAGCTTGTTCTTCCAACTGTCCAGTTCATACGTGAAAAGAGACAGCACGCATCATTAACAGTGCTGCAATAATACTGCTACCCCCTGCTCTGTACTATCCAGCTGATAGTTGCATAGCACTTCACAAACTAAAAGGCAACTGTCACCACATTTGTGGTGCTTGTCCTCTCAGACCAGCTGCAGATCAGGAAGCCAAGGCCAAGAGCTCAACCACACGTCCAGGAACCTGAATCAAAACAGCGTTAGCTGGAAGGACGTGAATTTAAGTTCTGAATTTCAGTTTAGAGTTTCGTGCAGGATTCCTCATTCCATCTCTAGAGGTACTTTATCTGACAAAATGCATTCCTCTATCTAAGAAATGTTAATTACAAAATTACGAATTACAAAAAACCCCCCAAGCATTATAAGATTAACAGCAGCTACCAATAAGCAGAGATCAGGCACCCAATTAAGTGTAAGCGTGGAGCAAAATAACGTGTTTTCTTTTTTCTATGACCTGCTACAATATGACACTTCAGATTACATTACTTTACAACACACACATGGTTGGCACTGCTGCCATTGCAATTAAATTGGAGAGATATATTTACCAAGAGAGGTATATTACAATACCTCTCTTCTAAGCAATGTACATTCTATATCACTTCTGGAGGTGGTGCAACCAGAGATGCACCACTGACAAAAAATCCACACATTTTTTCAGTACTTTTAATATTACAAATGTAAAGCAGTTTTTTATTAAAAGGCAATGATATCATACTATTATCTAGAGCCCTACTTAGAAATAGAATACAGAAACTTTATTGCAGCATAATAGAGCTTACGATGCAAGATGTCAACTTATCACATGCTGTAAGAGCAAAATGCAGCTTGCAGGAAAAGTCAAGATGACTTGGGGATACAGAGAGAGGCAGACAAGAAATCCCAGCTGACTGGCATACTGAAGCCACAGCAAGTCTCTTCCATGTCTCCACACAAGGAAAATTTAAGGTAAATAAGCAACTTACTGGAATTACATTAACAAGTATAAAGATTCTAGAACATTCTCAGAAAATAAATCTCTGTTACTGAGCATGCATGAGTAGCAGTTTTATAAAGAATGGTCACATCTTAATGAAATAACCCCAATGCTTAGAAATGCAATGCTTAGATGCAAAGGAGGCTACAGCCATACAGAAGAGAAGCCGTAGGCAGCAGCACGCTGAGGACACCTCACCTGCACCCTCTGCTGGTACTGAATCTGCAAGGAGCTCTGAGATGATGCCGGCACAGGCTGCCCGGACACCCCCTCCATACGCTGTGAAATGAAGTTGTTGAAGGATCTCAAGGTGGAGAAGACAGTGGTATTACCTTCCAAGTCTTCCATAGCTCTGGAAATACATAAAAAGTTATCAGTGAAGCATCCAGAGCAATCTGGAGTATACAGATGCTCTACTAAAAAAAATATATATATATGTATATATACACATCTGCCCTAAGATGGCACAAAATGCAACATCTTCCATCTTACACGGCACAGCATCTAACCTGCCTGCCACTGCTGGGGTCACCTCAACCAGAAAACACCACACAGCTGAGGCAGAAGTTGTAGATCTCTGGAATGAAGAATTGAGGCAAAAAAAACTGTCCTCTTCTTGGTGTTATAACCAAAGTGGTTTGCTTTTATTTAGATACATTCCCCCGAATCTCTGCAAGTTAATATACAAACAGAAGTTGCCTTAAGTTACACCAAAATGAGCTCTCCCTTCCTCTGGAAGCAGGATAGATTCAGGGATACAAGTTAACACCACAGGACAGGAAGCTCTGCAGCACATCACACAAAAAGAACTCCTTACTCTGCCCCCCAAACAAAAAAAGGGCTGGGGCAGGAAGAGAATAAATCCCACAAGGATAGCAAGCTCTGCCTTGTAAGCAGCCTGATTCTGGTTTCCAAACAGCACTTTGGTATAACTTTCAACACGTCTCACTCCTGACAGACCGCTTCCATCAGCGAGACGTAGCTCCTTGTTCATGTAGAAGTTTTTGCAAAATCTTCCTTTAGATTTGCAATAGCACTAAATGGCCACAAACGCATTAAAACTGGAGGTCAGAGAGGCTGGCAAGGCGCTCCCAGAATGCCTGGGGAAGCTTTAAGTGAATTCCTCTGAAACTGCAAGCCCTACAAGTCCCAGAAGCACAAAAGGAGGCCGGGCCAGGAAAGGCACCGGGTCACACACAGACTTACAGCAGCCCAGGCTGAGGGCTGACCCTCAGGCCCACCAGCTCACGGCAATAACACTCTTTGGACTCACGTCATCACAAGGAGCCGATACAACAGAAGCACGCTGGGAAGAGATCACTCAAAACCCAAACGAAAACGTTTATTAGAAACAAGCACTGCATTACCACGCACGACAAGACAGCGCTGCCAACAGGCTTCCAGCAAACCGATCTCAAACCGGGCGCGGGGAGAACAGGGACAGCACCAGCAAACAAGTCAGGCACGCCCTGCTGCCCTGCTGCAAAACACCACCGTTTGTTTTATTTTTGTTCCGTGCAGCGCCCCACAGCAGCCCCCAACCCCACCTCGGCGCGAGCAGCCGAAGAACGGGCAGCACGGGGCGAGGGGCTCCGTCCGCGAGACGGCAGAGCGGGGCACAGCCGTGCCCTGCGCTCACGGGACGGGAGCACGGGGACGCGGCGCTGCCCGCCGCGCTCGCTCCCATAGCGCCGCCTTCAGCCATGGGCGAGGCCAAAGGGCGGAGGCGGGCTGCGGCGGGCAGTGCGGTGCGGGATCCCCGGGCGCAGCGCTGCACGCCGCCTCCCCGCCGCTCCCCCTCCACCCGCACTCACCGCCGCTGCCCGCTTGGATCTCCCTCCTCGCCCCGCCGCCGAGATCTCACGCGAACTCGCGCCCGCCTCTCGCGAGAAGAGCGGCCCGCCACGCCGTAATGACGGCACGAGGCGCGCAGCTCATGTTCGTACCGTAATGCTCCGCCCGGGTCGCGGCGCGGCTGTGTGGCGGCGGGCCGGGCTGTGCCGAGCCTGCTGGCAATCGCGTGGAAATGAAAAACGGAAGTTCACAGTAGTTGCCATCTGATAAATCCGCGAGCCATTCGAAATGGTATATTTACGACGAGGAAGATGCGAAAGCCCCTTTTACAACTCCTGGCACAGCCAGCCCTATAGCAGCGCTGTTTAATGGAGGAGCCGTCGCTTCCAGATAAGGCAGTGGCCAAATCTATTTTTGCAAACTGAACTCTGGCAACTCAGTCACGGTTTTATCAGTAGTTCTACCTGTCTGGGCTCTAGGAAAATCTTGTCATTTTGCCTAATAAGCATTACTGGTCAGCCATAAAACGTTACTGAGAAAGTAGGCAGGAATTGTCTCAGCTGCGGCGATGCTGCCCTGCTGTCACTGGATTTATGAGCACAGTGAAGTAGCAATTTCTAAACGTAAGCTGTATCTTTAGGAAATGCAGCAAAGCCATCAGCTGAATACTCCAGGGCCAGAGCCGGACATTTGAAATGTCTGCATTGGAGACCACATGTGACAATGCAGATTCTGACGTGCACAAAAACGCTGTTTTGATGTGTGCTAATAAATGACATCAGCTTTTAGGAAAGATGAAGAGGAAATAAATTGGCTCAACCCCCCCCCAGCCAGCCCTTCTCATTCTGACAAGCGCCTTTATGGTTAGTCTCAAATCTGACAGCATTAGAAATGCAATGATTTTCAAGCACACGTTAAGAACTCATATAATCACTGCTTTATTTTCATTTCCATTACAACAGCCCCAGAGGTTGCCTTTCAGATTATTGCTCTCCATTATTGCTCTCCATTCCCAACTGTTTTCTCCACAGGTGTGAAGCTAGATTGGATGTCTCTGCTTGTGCAATTAGTGGATAAACTCAGTGGGGCAGCACCCTGGTTTTATTTTCATATTTGAAAAGCATGATGTACTTTGTGAGAATTGCAGCAGATTTCCCGAGGTTGTTCTCAGCAATCTAATAGTTCAAGCTGGGGATCTTCATGCTGGGAGTTTTCTTTAAACACATGCCACGTTCAGATTTCCAGTCTGTCTCTGATCACCTGTTTGATATTCTGCATTTCCCAGCTTTCATTTCCCTTTGTACAATCTTGCCAAGTAATAAGATTCAGATGAGTCCTTCCGACTGGCCTGAGGCTTTATAGTTCTCACGTCTTGGAACTGCTCCTTCAATTTGTTTTGAAGAACACGGGACTCATGTCCATCCCAGAATTTACACAGTATTGTCCCTTTTGGCTTTAAAATACTTTGTGACAGATTCACAAGGCCTAAACACAAACCGATCAACTTCTGATGATCCAGCTCTTTAATGCCTGTTGCATTCGGTGCCATGTCACTCAAAATAACATCCACCTTCTTTGCAGGAAGCAGATTCTGAATCGCCCTTTGTGTGCTTGGGTCTGTAATGTCAGCCTGTGACAAGAAGACTGCGCCTTCCAGCGGGGAAATCCGTAGGAGGTCAACTCCAAGGACGAAGCCAGTAGGGGCAGCAGGATCTAGGTTGTAAGGATGAACATCAAATTGAATTCTTGTGCTTGAAAACAACTTGCATATACATGAACTCTGTTATATTCAGTAAACAAAAAGTTATTGCCTGCCACAGACTTCCTGCCCATCCATAACTGGTTTGCTGCATGCAGCGACATGGTCTGCTACTAGTCAAAGCATTTACAACATTAAAACCCAGTTACATCAGATAGGCAAGAGGTAATCCTATTGTGTTTTTGGGAGGTTTTTTGTTTTTTTATTTTTGCAGAGCTGGCAGTATAATCCAACAACAGTACACATGATAATGCTTTTCCTTATAACTATGAGCATCTCAAAACACACAAACCACTCCCCATCCCGAACACCAACAATGTGCACTCACCAGTACCTAAGGCATTGACCCTCTCTACAGCAACCTGACTCCAAGCACCAGGTGCTGCTCCACAGTCAAGAACGGAAAGTCCTGGGCGGAGAATATGAAGCCTGTCATCTATCTCCAGTAACTTGAAGGCACTCCGGCAACGGTAATGCTGCTGTTTCGCTGCCTTGACGAAGGGATCCCTCAACTGCCGCTCCAGCCACCAGTTCTCTGCGGCAGTTTTCTTCTTCAGGAGCCTCACTGTGCTGTGCAGACAGCTGCGCTGCAGAGGAAGGCTCAGCAAACACTGACAGCTGCCCAAGGAGAAAGGTGACAGTCAGACCATGCACGGCCACAGCACAGGTTTCTGAAGCACGTATTGATTCATTTCCACCATGAACACGGCTCCTCCCATCTATCATCACGCCCACCAAGAGCCTCACAACTTCAGAGATTCCTGGCCTCTTCAGTTCCCTGCTCCACTTACCACGAGAAGAGCTGTAATGGGGATCAACACCTCACTGGTTACCCCCTGAACCAAGGGGGAAGAAGTGGGATCTCATTGCTGGAGCTCTGCAGCTCTCCTCAGGTGTTTTCTGTTCACATGGACACCTGGTGCTGTGAACAAGCCCTAACGAATCCGCCAGCCGTGCCAGGGGGCTGCACAGCCTGTGTGCCAGCAGCAGAGCTGGGCTACGACCTCACCACCAGCTCGCGCTCCTCACTGACCCCAAGCGCCGTGTCAGAGATGTGAGCATGGCTGAACGTCACCTTCCTGAAAGGCTTCTAAAGCCGAGAATCCATCGTCTTAAGGGGAACTGCAGTGCTCTTATGGGCAGTTAGATCACGGAACCACGCTGTACCACCCAAGCCCCTAAGGTTCACAGCGGCGTCCCAGCGCTCCCTGAGCTCCGGCAGTTCGGGCCGTGCTCACCGCCCTTCCCCGACCCCCAGCCGCCCCTCCCCTGGCAGCTCCGCGCCGTTCCCCCGGGCCACGGGTGCCGGTCACCAAGGGACGGGCCCCGCAGCTCCCAGGGCGCAGGGACGGCAACCCCGAGCCCGGCTCCCCGCCACGCACCGCGCCCCGCACAACGCCATGGCGGCCGCCGCCTCCCGCCCCGCGCTGGGGCGGAGCTGAGGGCGGAGCCTCGGCGGGCGAGGCGCGGGAAGAGCCGGGCGCGGGGAGAAGGGGAAACCGTGGTGTTTGGGGCAGGGCCGGGAGCGAGGGGATACGGGAAGGTGAAGGGAGAGCGGGGGGAGCGGCGAGCTGGAGGGTCCGTGAGGGGGTGGCGGTGCGTGAGGCGCCCCGTGCTGTGCGGAGGGGCTCCGCTGCGCCTCGCGCCTCCTCGGCCCGAGCGCTGCCCTCAGGCGCCCCGCGCGGCGCGGCGCCATGTCCACCTCCAGGCTCTTCACCCTCGTGCTGGTGGTGCAGCCGCCCCGCGTCCTTCTGGGCATGAAGAAACGCGGGTTCGGGGCCGGGCTCTGGAACGGCTTTGGAGGAAAAGTGCAGCCGGGAGAGAGCATCGAGGATGCTGCGCGCAGGTGAGGCCCGGCCTGGGAGAGGGGCGGAGGGAGTCGGGAGCTCCTGCGGATCCGTAGCGGCCCCGTGAGCGCCGTGCCGCCTTCGCACGTCCGTGCAGCGCTCCTTCCTGCACGCAGGCGGCTCAGCACCGCCGTTACGGACCATCCCGGCTCCCCGTCACCTGGCTGCTGCAAACCTCCGAGCGTCTTCCAGTCCACGAGTAACTGCAGCTAGCGAGCATCCTCCCTGCCGCCGTCCTGAGCCGCTGATACCCATTGCTCGAGAAGAGAGCAGAGGCTCTTGCGACAGATGCACCGTTCTCGTTTGGCCGTATAGCGGCGCTGCAGCTTATGGCAGTGAGCTGCTGCTGCCTTAAAGGTGCTAAATTCCGCTTACATTTTTAGTACTCTGTGAGAAGAGATTAGTGAAGAATACTAGGAATTTCACTTGAAGGTGCCTCATGAAGGGCACCGTAGAAACTGTTTCACTGCATGCAGGCACTGAATTCAGGAGCAGAATTCTGCCATTCCAGGGTTTGGACAGCAGTGGTTCACTGCAGGACTTTCTTCATTTTAGTCACTGAAATGAAACAGCAGGTTCTACCTTCTTGTTTACACGAGCTTTGCAGATACAAAGCCATGCTTTGCTGCCTCCTTGATCTATCCCCAACTTTACCTTTGCACCTGCAGGAAGTTTAGTGTTGCTTAACAGATTCCTAACAGCTTTTGCACTGTTTCCTCAGCTGTGTCAGTGCAACCGCCGGCGCTGTGCGGTGAGTGAGCTCATCAGGGGGGAAGAGGCCTCTGTCTGTGTGCAGCGGAGCACCAGGTTAATGCGGCTGGTGCTTACATCGTGTCTACCTACAATTTATCATCTCTGAGTTGAGGGTAGGAGATCTGTCTCACTACTTAAATCAGGCCTTCGTTTGCTCATGTCATCAATGAGTATGGAGTGAGATGACTTGATTAATTTAGAATTTGATTTCCCCACACATGTATTTATCTGTGCTAGCTTGGGGTTAAAAACTGGAGCTGTAATTCCCACGAGATGCTTGGTGGTGGATGTTCCAGCCATCTCAGTGCAATGTGACACAGCAGAAACAACGCCTGCTGCTGCAGACCGCGACACAGCCTGCTCTGCAGCCATTTCTTCAGAGCTCGTTGCAGAATTATACCCCTGACTCCTGCTCAGGTCAGCTGAGGAGAAAGCAGACCCCAGAGTCAGGGCCAGCTGGGCACACTGCCCTCCTTCCTGACTGGGAGCTGCACCAGCACGGGGCTGCTGGCCCTGGGACAAGTGTGGGTTCAGCTCTCCTCCAGGAGGTGTCGTGCAGCCCAAGTAAAACTTCACCACAGCGCTCTGCTTTGTGGCAGGATTTGAGCTGTTAGGCTGTGGTTGCCTCAACTGGCGTTGCAGTGGTGTAACCTGAAGTTAATCTTTACAGACTGGACTGCTGGGTATTAAGCTGCAATGAGAACAGAGTGCCCTGAATGATCACTGTGCTCCGCTGAATCCATCATGTTCACACAGGCGCCTGGGCGCTCACAGCTATTCAGTGGCACATCCTGTAAGGAAAGCTGTCAGCTAGTGTAATTTCTTCAATTTTCTATCCACTGCAGTGTTTGTGTTTACTATATCCAGAGCCCAACAGCTCACAGATAAATTATTGAATAAACCACAGCAGCGTTGTGCTTATTGGACCTTTACCACAGCCTGTGAAACGAGGCTTTTAGTTTTCTTGGTTGAAAACTGCCTCTGTTTTTGGCATCATTTTCCAGGAATATCAACCAGAGTTAGCTAAGGCATCAGATTGCAGTACAGTTTTGAAGGATGGGATCCATGAAACTGATGCCAGAGAAAGCTGGAGCCTTAAAAATCATTTCTGTTTTGAAATTGTCGGGTTTCTGCCAAATGTACAACTGCGTTAGTTATTATCTTTATCTGAAGATAGTTCAAAGTATCCCTTACCTTTGTAGGGAGTAGACTAACCAGGACAAGTTTCAAGGTCTCTTAGCAGCAGGTTAAAAAAAAAACCAACATGAGCGTGTGGCATAGAAAGAAAAAGTGATTTAAAGGGCTTCAAGTGGCCACGCGTGGTAAGGCCTTGGAAAGAGCTGCTTGGCAAGTCTCACAGACTGCTCTTAGAAGACTTGTCTCTCAGCCTCTCTCTGACACGGAAAGTACTTCTGAGCAGCAGAAACTGAAGGTTTACATGATTATTTTGTGGTTTTGATATGGCTTTTAACTGGGAGGTCACACAGTGCATACTGTTACTGACATGAGCTTCGCTTTGCCTCAGAAGTCGCTGATTTTTGTAGCAGCATAGATGAGATGTTCTCACGTTCCTTATTTGTGTCACCACAGTTCTAAAAGCTTTAGCCTGATGTTGGCAAAGCCTTCTGCTCGTCTAAACAAAGCTCTTCTCAGAGTTCTTAAGCCACATCCAGCTTAACACATTCGTGATAGCCCATTTCTAAGTAACCTCAGGAAATACCATCCTCTTGCATGGAATGTAAGCCCTACCAGGTCGTCTCTGTTGGTGAATCCTCCCCCTCTAACAGAGTACTTTCCCCATGGCCTCTATAGCACACTGAGGTAACTCATGAGTCAGTCTGACATCGCTCCAGTCTGGTGCCAGTGGGCTACGTAGTGTGATGTGAGCCAGAACCCTGCTTTGTTGCAGGCACAGGAGGAGTTCTGGATGTAAAGTTAACGGCTGCTTTTTGTTCTCCCACTGCTTGCTTTCCTATAAAAACGCCTGTTTTTTGTATAGGGAGCTCCTGGAAGAGAGCGGGCTGACTGTGGACACCTTGCAGAAGATGGGTCAGATCACTTTTGAATTTATAGGCAACTCTGAACTGATGGAAGTTCACATTTTCCGAGCGGATCAGTTTCATGGAGAGCCAAAGGAAAGCGACGGTGGGTAACTCACAGAGCTGATGTGTGTTTGCTTTTGAAATGCACTGCTCATACGTAAATGCAGAACTGTTCCTGCAGAAATTCCAGAGGAGGGAGGCAGCGCGGCTGTAACCCAAAGCTGTTTGTTGACACAGTGGAACTCCAGGCGGCAAAAAACCATGAGAAAATTTCAAACAAAATTGTTTTTTCCCCCAACAGAAATGCAGCCTCAGTGGTTTCAACTGGATGAGGTGCCGTTCAAACAAATGTGGCCAGATGATGTCTTTTGGTTCCCATTGGTGCTTCAGAGAAAGTTGTTTCGTGGCTACTTTAAGTTCCAAGGACAAGACACCATTGTGGAACACACCCTGAAAGAAGTGGAGGAAGTTTAAGAGGAAGGCAGAAGCATTCATTCCACGTGCTGCTGCCCACATTGGGCTGGGACACCACAAGTGCTTCCAGGGGGCTCCTTTCTCAGCTCCCCCGCAAGAAGAGGCTGACTGCCAGCTCACAGGGAAGTAAAGAAAATAAGGGGATTTCTTAGAGCAGAAATAAACATAGTAAGAATTTCCATGCTGTGAAGTCCCTATGATATGCCTGGGTAGTTACTTGATTACAACTCTCAAGAAACGGAGGGCTAACAGGAAGTTCTCAGGTTGTTAATATATTTGGGTTTTCCATCATGGCTAGAAACATTTTTAGAAAATCAAAGTGTTTTGGTTTTTTTTTTCCCCAGAAAAAGCATGTGTTGTCCCATTGTAAACAGCTGCCAGGTTTCTGGATGGTTGATGGGCTTCTCTGCAGACTGCTTCCTTCTATAGAAATGTTTGCTGTCTCTCTCAGGCTAATAGCAAAAGCTATTGAGCATCTTCTCTGTATCAGCTTTTATGCAGTTCCATATTCAGCATTATTTCCCAGGAGAAAGCAAGGCTTGGTAAGTGCTGTGAGAGCCCTTGGAAAAGCTCTGGTAGAGCTCCCTTCCAGATTCTCCAGCTCAGATTTGCATAAATTTGTACAAGTCAAGAAAACAACTTCTGCTAGAGCTGTCCTGTTTGAGCTCTGCCTTCAGTGTGCAGTTCCTGCTGTCAGCTTGGATATACAGACAGGTAGAAACACACTGAACAAAATCCCACCTCTCAGCAACTCCATGCTACAAAGTGCAGTGCACCCATGCTTGCAGGCTCTGCCACGTGCCTGCAGCCTGTGAGCTGACAGCTCTCAGATCAGCCCAACTCAGCATGGTGGACAGTGAAATACACATAGCACTCTGCTGGAAATATCACATATGGAACTTTATAGGTCTTTTGTTTTCTTTAAACATTTTTACAAACACACGTAACAGAATCGTGGAATGTCATATAGAATCTGTAAACATTTCCAGTCTACCAGCTGTAGTAATAGGTCTTTAATTCCTGCATTTGGATAAAGTGCTTCATACATAAGGCTATTTGAGCAAAGCAAAGATACAGGATATTCCAGGCAGGCAGATTCATACCCTCTGAACAAGATTGTTTCTTCTCCTCTCCTCCCTGCAATTCTGAATCACTCACATCACACAAAAAATGTCCTGCTTCATCTGCTCCATAAGCCACAGCTCAGACTTAAAGGATAGGAGTTATATTTTTTTCTTTCTTTTTTTTTTTTTTGTGCTGCACAATGACTATTTACAAAGCTTTTGATACTCACCTGTGTTTCTGACACAGCTGTATGAGTTTCTGGCTGTTCTAGTTCAGAGAATGGCTTGAGGCAAGGAAGGGAGAGAAAGTGAGCACAAAGAGGTGAGGTTGTTAGTAATGTAGAGGTTGTTAATAAAATAGGGATGTAAAGCCTTACTGCATGGTAGGAAAGGGAGTGACTGGCAGCTGATACCTCTTGTGTTATCCCAATTTATTTCCTGGTGGAAACTGTAAATCAAGAGCGAACAAATTACATTCTCTTGCTCTGGGAACGTGGATAAGAAAAGAACAAGCACAGCTCAGGCCTGCACTTGCATTTATTATGCAATCAGTTCAATCCTTTTATGAAGATGCTTTCACCAGCACTGAGTTTTTGCTCATAAGTAGTGACTATTGCTTGTGCTGCAGGTGTGGAGACTGCTTACATCCCCAGCTAGTAGTTTGTCTTTTAGGAGCAGCAGAAAGTGGAGACCATGAATTAGTCTGTAAAAATGCCAGGAACTGCACCCCTGTGTGATCAGAGTAGAAGAGTAAAAGCACAGGAATGCAGCAAGGCACTGTTGGAAACGTTACAAAGAGCAGCTTTCAAAGAAGGGGGAAAGAGGAAAAGAAGCAAAGATCAAGGTTGTATTGTAACTGTAGTCATTTGGAAAGCTTTTCAACATGCAGTGTTGGTCAAAAAGCCTGAATAGCGCCAGTCACAGCTTAGAGCAGGGGTGACCTTAAGAGTGACAAAAACACATAGCCCTTCTGGTAAGACATTTTTCCAGGTCCCCATTGTTTGCCACCCTGATACCTCTATGATATTTGAGACACAGACAGAAAGACTGGAGGCCTTTTCTATCACTGTTATTTTAAACATGAGAGTCTCTGTAAGCTCCAGCACTGCACAGAAAGCTTCCACTGGAGAAGGCACATTAACTCTTTGGTGCAACATCTTACAGGAGCAGCAGTACTGCAATAGGCAGCACATGCTCTTCAGTTAGCCTCATCGTTTGCTCAGTGCTCATTGCAATCTACCCAGCTACAGCAATGGAACCAACAACTGAAGTCCTCTTCTCACCTTTGCAGACAGTCACAGTTTGCTGCAACAACAGCACACAGGCAACTCGTTCTGTCCCCTGTCCATTGGAACTGGGGTAGATAGAGAACTGAAGACAACTCAGTTGATTCCCTGCTGCATTCCTCTGGAGCAAGGACCTGGCTGCAGGTCTGACACATCTCTCAGCAGGACCAAAACAGTAAAGACATCCCTCAGCTACTGAAGTAAATGTGATACTGCTGTTGGTACGCTGGTCAGCCTCCCACACTGAAGGTTTGAAAATGAATGGCTGTATGAAACTCTGGACAGGAGCTTGATGGTTCGGTATGAAACGAACTCAGAGTGCCATCAGCTGTATCAGCTTTGAGGATACCAGCCTTTTGTTTTCAAAATATAAGATGAATGAAATAAAAACAAAAGAAAAGCAAAACAAGAAAATCCCACCCCAAAACCGCTGTCCTCAAAGAGGCAACAGCTGACAACGTAATAACAAGTGTTTTCTCAAGTAACATAATTCCAGTTTCTTTAGAGGCTGTGTGGTCTGTGCATATGTATAGCAGTCTGTACATCTGAACTAGAGAATTCTTGCTTGGAAGAACAGCAAATTCCATTCTTTTTGTGGGCTCTTTTGTTTTTAAAATCTGAAATTATACTTTTCAGTGAGGGGGAAGAAAAAGAAATGTTTCACTGCAGAGAACTTGCCAAGTACAAGCTCACAGAGCACACCCCAGTCAGACCAGATCTTCCACTGGAACATACAGCATTTTCTCAATTTGTCTGCTCACCACTTCAACAATCAAAGCTCAGTAAAGGAGGATGGGTACTAAGACAAAACAAGTCACTGTCTATAACCAGCCAGCAACTTGTAAAGGCAATAGGACGAAGAGCACTGAAGAATATGGTTAAAGGTTTTTCACACTTACTGTGTTCCCAGTCAAGACAAGGTCAAGCAAGGGAGGGGGGAAAAGAACCCAAACAAACCAATCCTACACCCCCCTTTTGTGACGTTCTTGAGATGATGCCTTATTTGCTATTTTACTGTAGAAACATTTCCCTCCCCAACCAGTTTTGCTCTGGTTTGCAAACAATCTCTTCTACATCACTTTGGAAATCTTCAGGAAAGACCTGTCACAGCCATTTCAGTTAGTGGACCAGGGCAGTGCATAGGAGGGACGACTCAGAAGAGAGTTAACATCTGAATTGCTATAAAAAGCTCTTGAAAGTGTATTCTGAACAAGGTTGTTAAACAAGCACCCTACAGACTCCTGAAGGCCCAGCGCCCCTAAACTTCACCCACAGAAAGAGGGGGAAATGGGGATATGAAACTGGGCAAATAGCTTATTATGTTGCTCTTGAATCTAACTTGTAATTTCCACCTGGCTGAGGAAGATCTCTTGTTGCATTTAATTTTCTAAATAAAAGACACAAAAAAAAAAGCCATTTGTGATGGGAAGATGTAAATCTATTTCCTGCTACTGAGGAAGTTCCCCAAAGGGAAAATACTGTAACAGTTCCAGTTTAACAGTGAGCTTTCACCCTTCATAATGTGCTTCCTTTCTACCTAGAGAAGAAAACAGTAAGAAGCCAAGTGTCAAGCTCCCCTTTGGCAGCTCGCTTGGTCCCACAAAGACAGGTTAAGGAGAGTCCTGATCACGTTGAGTTTTGCTGTATACATTTATAGTTTCTTCACTATCACTTTCTCCAGAGGAGAAAATTCCCCCTGAAGTAACGTGACACGCAAGTTCTCCCCCTGCCATTTGCCTCAAGAAGGAAAGTCACTGGAGATACAAAGTGAGACACAGAGAATAATTAGTCCCTTTATCAGATATCATCCTGAAAACCCCATTACTGAGGGCTGTGCTATTTCTAGAGAGAAAGAACTGCCACTGCCATGGCCTTGTCTTCACACACTCCAGTGCTATCCAGAGCTGGAAAAGACAACTGCAGTAATACCCAATAAATACTGATTTCTGCTAATCCATTTTATCAGCACTGTGTCCCAACCCACCAGCGTGACAGGATCCTTCATTTCATACTGGACAGAGGAGACACCAGCCATGGGATCACAGCTCTCCCACAGTCCTAAACAGCCACTCAGCAGGTGGATATCAGAACCTCCAGGAGAAATTAGACATGCTCTGCTGTAGCTGTCCAGCTTGGATAACACGAGTAGATTACAATTAAGGAGTGTCTCATTCAATTATATTCCCATTTATGCCAGGAAAATTCCTCTAGGTTCCCCAACCCAGTCATCTTTGGCCCAGGACCGAATCAGATGAGCAAGTCCCCAGGCTGCCCTGCCACCACAAACTGAATCAATACTGACACACACAGTGCTGAGCCTCCATGGGAAAACAGCTGTGCTACAGCAGCAGGGCCCTGCACCCATCCAGGTTAGTGAACCCAGACACTTTGTTCATATATTTTGCTTTAAGGTTTAGCAATAAGAATTCAAATGCAGCCAACTACCCACGGGATGGCTTTCAGCTTTCCTTTTCTCCATATGCCCGTAACACAGGCCCTTCCCAAACTTTAAAGGAAATCCATATCTCCTCTATGAGCAAGTGCTTCAGATATCCTGTCCATCTCAGCACTTCAGAAGCTTCTCAGCATGTGTGCAGATAAGCCTTCTCGGAGGACAGTTAGTACACAGTGCAGAGGCATCAGCAATAACACTGCAGCACCTACTGCACCATGCCACATCCTGACCCCACAGAGACTGTCTGCAAGATAACGAAAAATCAGCTCTGCCCTAGAGCATTCCAAAATTAAATGTCTTTTTATCTGTATGTTCTGCCCCACATCCAGTCTGTCTAAACCAGAGAGCAGCTCAAAGCAGCAGTATTTAAAAAGGAAAAAAAAAAAAAGCTGTTTGGAGGATTCATTCTAACATCTGGAGGTAGAGGTCTGACCCCTCCCTTGATTGCACTTCTTGCTCACGGTAGGTGCTCGGAGTATTAATTGGAAAAGAAGTTTCCATCTGGAGGTGACAGTGGTGGAGTTGGCATATTGCTCGATCCCACAAATAGGCAGCTCAACTTCGGCTTCAATTCGTTCCAAACTTTACTCATCTGTGAGTAGAAAGGGAGAGAACACAAGCAGGAGAACGAGGTAAGGTAGGAATTCACCACTGTATTTTAGCAGCAGTTTCAAGATACCCAACAGCACAACACATGGAGAAGTCCAGTGTACCCAGAGCATCTCTTTTAGATGGTGCTATAATGACTGAACAGAAATCTTTCTTCAAAAAGGCTTACAGGCGAGCCTTGATCCTCACCCTTCACTGAAAATACCTTAGGTGACTTTTTAACAAGTTATGAAAAATCCCATTTGATCATTAGAGGAGGAAGACCCACAGGAGAAAACAAATCAGTTCAAAATTTTCATTGCTGTTTTGGGAAAAAGGGCATAGGTCAAAGAACTCACCTCTTTGTGACCCTGGATCTGGGAATTGACAAAGGCCCCCAAGATGTGAGATGTGAGAGGCAGATAGATATGGATGAGCTGTGTCTCCTGGTGCAGGCAATACAAAGAGAAGTAATTCCGAAGCTCCATAGTTAGGATGGCGTTTTCTTGCTGAAAGAGAAGGAATTCAGTGAAACACAATGCCAGGAAGAGAGTGCCAAGGAGATCAATTTGCAGCAGGAGAAAACAGCATTCCTCACCACCTGGCAATTCAAACACACAACAGGAACCCAAAAAGGCAGCGCCTGCGCTCACACGACATGACAGCAACTGCACTTTCCATCACACAGAATATTGCTTTCCTCATCTCCTGAAAACGTCACGTTGCCAGAGAACCAGTAATAAGTCCTGGTAAGTAACTGAGGAAAACAAACGTGTTATCCTTGTAGCACAGCAGATAGCTCAAATGACTCAGGTAGCAGCTACATTTCCAGGCTAATGGCTCTCTGCAGATATGACTGAGCTGTGCCACTCTCTGCTTTCCCCATGCATCTGCACTACCTCCACAATTCGAGATTCCAGTTGCTCCACTGATTCTGGTTCTTTGTTCTGCACAGTGGCACTCATCATCTGCTTCTTCATCATGCTGTACTTATGCAGTGCTCGCTGGTGCTTGTGCAGTACTCCCTTCTCATGTCTTTCACACAGGTCCTTTATAGAGGAAAAGAAGCAAATAAAAAGTAGGTACTGAGTGGAAGCAAGGCATAGTGCAAAGGGACAGCGAGCAGGCAAGCCATTTACATCAGGAACATAAAAGACAGTCATGCTTTATGCTATTTCTATGCTGCATATATATATTTTTTTCTTCTTAGGAGGGTAAAAACGTTAGCTAAGAATTCAAGAAACAGAAGTGCCACTTAAGCTCAGTGGCACAGGTCCAAGCAATCTAGAACACCACTTTGGCCAACGTTTTGGATCTTATCAGACCACTTATCTTCCATGACCTTCTCAATATTAAGTGCTGGCAATTAACTGTAGCAATAGCTTCCCAGTGCCCTTCTATTTCAGTCCCAGCATGCGAATGTCAGGAGAGGCTGCCAAGTACAGTTCCACTAGGTGCTTCTAAAAGAAGTGCCTTTGACTGAGAGATTGATATCAAAAAAATTCTTTTGTTTGTAGCTGAGCTCACAAATTGTCTCCACTGACAGAACATCTCATTCACTGGTCTGACTCGAAAGCAGTCAAATCTGGAAAAAGGTTGGCTGACCCACGCAATTCAAGCAGTCAGATTTCTGAGTTCCTCCCAGATGTGTTTGCCATTTGGCAACATCTCATCACAGGAAAAGCTGATCAGTAAGCTATGCAGCTAACTAAGGCTAACAGCCACTCCCACCCCTCTGCCACATCCCTTCTGTGCCTCCAAACTGCCCTCCCAGACACTTTTCCATCTCATTGGCATCACACCCCCTGAAGAGCACAAGCTCAAAACAACTTTTTCACTGGCAGAACGGCAAAGCTCACTTTATAGGACTGGAGTAAATCCAGGAAAAGGTTCAGCTTCTCCACCACATCATTCTCTTCCTGTTTACCCTAGAAAACAAGGAAAAAGTACATTTTACGTAAGCCTAGCAAGCACCAACATCAGAGTTCTTCAAATCCTTACCCCATGCAGGCCCTCCACAGTACTCCCTAGGGCATATCAGTGCTTACACAACTGCATCAAAAACCTTTCAGACGTAACAGTAGTGCTCAGTCTCCAGCACGCAGAACAAAAACCTGAACTGGAGTGAGAACAGCTATTCCAACTGACTGATTATTACAACCAGAGCAGTCAGTTTCCCAGCGCTGTGTGCCAGGCCTTTCAACTCTCTCTGCCTCAAAATTTGTTTTTGTAGACTCCTCCAATTTTTTACTTTCCTTCTTATAAGATTATTAATCTGTTAAATCTATAAATACCTGCATATTCTGCATAACAGTTCGTGCATCAGAAAGCATAAATGAGACACCAAGCTAAATTTGACAACCTTTTTTTTTTTTCCCCCCTTTTAGTAAACAGTGCCTTTTCTTCCCGTGTCAGTAGAGCTCTCTGGAACAAACTGGAGAAAAAGAGCTGGTCTGACTGATCTATAAAAGCACGCTGAATATTTTAACACACTGAGATGAGAAGACAAAACTATTACTTTGCTTCCCAGACTGTCACGATCTCGCACTGCTCTGTCAGTACCACACTGCACATTCACACAAGGCACTTCTGTCTGAATGATTCTCGTGTTTTGTCTAAGTAACACGAACGTCAAAATTTGATTCAGAGGTTCTGGATTCTCTGCAGCAGGTAAATCACACAGAACACAGGCCTTCTGGACAGCTCAGTACAGCAACACAACTGCACTTGTCTGATAACCACCTGAAAGGAAAAAAGAAAGCAGGCTTTTCCCTCCTTTCCTTTCTTCCCCCATTCAAACAGTCAGCTCTTTCATTCACACCTGAACAAGCAGGCTGGTGGCTGAGGATGCAAGCTTGGATTACAATCTCCCTTTTAAGTTTTTAAATGTCTACACCTGTAGAGATCACGATTCAAGATGAAACGTAAGACAGCCATGCACCTTCCTCGTTATACAGAAAGGAACACACAGAAAAAAAATGAGCTCACCTGCTGCACAGCCTTATCTGCCAGAAGTGCAAATTCAACAGACAGACCCTTCAAGGCCTGTTTCAAAGTCCCCCACGTGTTATTATTCAAAGCAGCCCAGGAAGGAAGAGGTGTAGTGTCTGAGCCCAAAGCACTAGGAGAACAGAATTAATGATTAAGTTTAGGAAACAAACTCCACTTGGTAGGTGCACTAGTTTGCAGAAATTTCAAAGAGCTCACAGCACAGAGGTACTAGTGCACAGTCACAGACACGTTGCCAAGTATATTCTGGAAGGAGAGACAATATATCAGTACCTGAGTATTAAAGTATTGCTATTTATCTCTGTTGGTCTATGGAACGCAGCACAGGTTTTCTTCTTTT